GAAGAGTACTAGAAGTAGGATGAATGTGTCACAAAGCAAAACCAAAATGAACAATTTTTAAGTAAATTTCAATTGGACATTTTAAAAATTAGCAAAATTTTGGATAAAAAGCAAAGGCTATAGCCCATGATTTTTTCCAAAAAATGGCTCCAAAATCACCCTCAATTTTAATTATATTTTCTGATACGTATTGATGTCCTTTTGCTACATAGCAAGTTTAACCTGATTCCAACTTCAGATTTTCAAGTTATGGCCACTTTTAAAAAAGGAGCCAAAATCTGAAAAATGCCTAAGGCTATAGCCCATGATTTTTTCGAAAAAATGGCTCCGAAATCACCCCCAATTTTTATTACATTTTCTGATACGTATTGATGTCCTTTTGCTACATAGCAAGTTTGAGCTGATTCCAACTTTAGATTTTCAAGTTATGGCCATTTTTAAAAAGTAGCCAAAATCTAAAAATGCCCAAGGCTATAGCCCATAATTTTTTCCAAAAAATGGCTTCGAAATCACCCCTAATTTTTTATTACATTTTCTGATGCATATTGATGTCCTTTTGCTACATAGCAAGTTTGAGCTGATTCCAACTTCAAATTTTTAAGTTATGACCATTTTTAAAAAGTAGCAAAAATCTAAAAATGCCCAAGGCTATAGCCCATAATTTTTTCCAAAAAATGGCTTCGAAATCACCCCTAATTTTTTATTACATTTTCTGATGCATATTGATGTCCTTTTGCTACATAACAAGTTTGAGCTGATTCCAACTTCAAATTTTCAAGTTATGACCATTTTTAAAAAGTAGCCAAAATCTGAAAAATGCCTAAGGCTATAGCCCATGATTTTTTCAAAAATTAAATATGATTCCAAAATCACTCCCAATTCTTAATACATTTTGTGATACATATTGCTGTCCTTATCATGCTATGTCAAAAGTTTGTTAATTCCGACATCAATTTTTCAAGTTATGAGCATTTTATGAGAATACATAAACTACATGTACATGCACATACTTCTTAACTTTGGCCATCCATCCCTAGGTTAACTATGGGTTGGGTTAACTATGAGGTTAACTATGATGGCCTGGCATCTAAAAAATTATAAAAATAATAATAATGTACATGTACATGTACTATACTTCATTTGTTCTCAGTTTCAGTGGCTACTGTTGCTATATTCCTCATTGTAAACAAAGACATATAGCTTTACTTCCTAATACTAAGTAGACTACCCAATCATTAATATTTAATTAATGTTAAAAACTTAAATCATCACGCCCACCAATTTAACTGAATAATTATAAAGAAATTAGATCTGCTATGCTGTGCCAATGGTCCTAGACTCGACTGGAGAAAGAGGAGGATCCAGCTGTAAAGAATATCTGAGAATCAAGACAGTGCAGCCAGACCGTGATTATGGTAAATATGAGTGTTTGTTTTTTAGCAACTTTTAAAATTTATAAAAATATCTGAATTATCAAAAAATTCATAAAATAGAAAATTTATAAATTTCTTGAAATTTTTGCAAAATTCTGTCAAAGACTATAGTAGATCATGTTTTTTCGTCCAATTTTTGACAACCCATGGCTCTGCATGAGCACTATATGTCAAACTTATCCTGTGGGTAACCCTGTGTATCATTAAGATATAATTATGTTGAATAAAAATAACGAGCATCACTTACCGGTAATTGTACTCTATACAACATGCCAGTACATGTACTCTCATACCTACTTAATCTATTAGAATGTTTTATGCTTGTCAAGAACTAGGAGTACAATAATAATGGTGTATAATGTTAACTATAATAATATCATAGGCGTCGCTCGGTCGCTGCCTAAGGGGCAGATAGGGCAGTTGCCCCACCAATAATAATTATTTTAAAGATGCTGTAGCCATTTTTATTAAAATTAGTTATTGAGTTATAAACTTAAGTTAATTTATTTAATAACCAGGAAAGACTCAATCACTGCTTACTTCTTCACACACATGCCAACAACTAACTGATAATGTAAAAATACAGTGCAATTTATTGCTGGAAATGAACACCATATGAATTTTTTCGGTGTCAATGATCACTATTATTAATTAATTAATTAATTAATTAAAAAATTGACCACACCCATCATGAATATTAATTAGATACGGCAAAATTTTTTGCGCACAAAGTACACAAAAAACACTCCCTCTTGTCTCAGCCCCACTTGAATATTCATTATGTTTGTATTTAAATTATGTAAGATGTTGCTACAAGTACCATGTATATGTTTTTGCTTCAGTTTGTACCACTATATTGTAATCATTGTGTTGCAATCTATTAAGAAGGAAGGAAGGCAATAAAGAGCTTGAATTGGAAAAAAATACAAAATTTGAACTGATTGTAATTTGTAATAATCTATTGTAAATTTATTCACATTTCATGACTAATAGGAACAACTGCTTAACTTACCCTAGCAGGTCCAGTAAGGCAAGCATCATATGTTACAAGTAAGGACAGACCAATTATGATGTGGTTTGAACTGCATGTACTGTATACATGTGTTCATTTATGTCATGCATTTCTAAGTGTGTTTGCATGATACTATATAGAAGGAAATTTTGGAGGGAGTTAAATTTGGCAAATTGCTAAATTTTGGTGATTGGAATATTTTAATTTGGCGAATTTGTGCCATAGAGCATGCGCATAATGGCTCAAAATGGCGGGTTTTTATTTTGGCGAATGGCTATCAAAATGCCAAATTAGCCAAATTTAACTACCTTCAAAATTTGATTCATACATTTAGACTATGCACTAATTTTTCCTCATGGAACAAATGAGTCTAAATTTTTTTATTTATTCGTACACAATTTTATGATGTTAAATGTTTCTGGTATAATAGTAGATCTAGTTGTTTTTGCAAATTCTTGGAATTATCCTGAATAAACAACACTCCCATAGTTTATAGTTCATGCACTCTCTGGTTTAAGTGGCTTCCCCTTTTCTATCGTTCATGCACTCCCTCTTGTGTATATAGTAGGGCTGGGCGATAGTATCGATAGTTGCACTATTGTGATAGTGTACAGCTATCATGATAGTGACTATCAAGATAGTTATCACGTGTGCATAGAGGATGCAAATGACACTTGACAGCTGTAATCATCTTCTAATTTGATAGCAACTTCCACTTGAGAGTGGTATGACTTGCTAGCACAGCTTGCTTCAAGGTTTTTCCCTGTCCCTGCTACATTAGCAGCATATGAAGTGGGACAGTGTTTCTCGTTAAAAATTTGGATTAAATAAATTTAAATTAACTAGTATATTATACATGTATAATGTGATTATACAAATTAATAGATGCATTAGTTAAGTACAATGACTATACATCTTTAAATAAATCATTGTATTTCCACATATAAACCCTATGGCTGAACTATCGTGATATGTTCACTATCGTGATATTAGAGTTACAAAATATTGTGACAGTGATATTACTACTGTCGCCCAGGCCTAGTATATAGGCAATAAATCTACATCAAAAATACAATAATTAAAAGCTTTCAGTCATACATGTGTATTTTATATAATATATGAAATGAAACTAGGGCAAACACCATTGATATGAGCCTTTAGATATGATTGAATGCATAATACAACATTGTGTTCATTACCCATACACACTTTGCAATTTTAGTTTCACCAAGAGTTGTTTTACATGTAATAAGATATATTTTAGCAGATATACTTGTGTGCACATTTCTGTTGTTATGATAAACTCTACATGTACTTGCTTTTGCAGATTCTTAGAATTTATTGTTTACTCAAAGAACCACAGCAAGGGTCACTCTCATAGTTTACCTTTTGCAGGTACTTTCCCAAAGCACCAATACAATTATAATGCATACAGATCTAGTTGTTCCTTTCATAATACAATATACAATATGCACTGTTGTCATAATTCAGACTCTCGGCTTTTTTCTGTAAAAAAAACTATAATTATCTATATATATGTTATTGAGTCATGTTTGATTGACTTTTGTTTTAAACAAGGTGCAGGATCTATTTACCAGTAGTCAGGCAGAGCCTGTGCATGATTTTATTGCTATCAAATATCAATACATTATGTAACTGTTATTGATCTGTAAGGCATCATCCATTCACATTCATGATGCATATAGCTAGCTCATGATGTATACGTTACATAAATTCTTGTTAATAAAAATTCTTATGTATATACTTGTTAATTCCAACAGCACTATGTAATTACCATAAAACAACTAGTCCTTTGGTTTATAGTATCTGTTGCTATTCTTACGAAAAAATTTGATACAAGATTCTTGTGCATGTTTATACTATTCATTTTACTCATTTCTTATGAATTTGTAAAATTGACCAAATTTAGTCAAAAAAACCTGTATTAACTACTAACTCTAGCAAAACAGCACATTCAGCAGACATTTCTCATTAATGATTATGATAGCTCAGTTGCATGTGCAAGCCAGTATACTATATATTGTATAGCGCAAAATTTTTAAGGGCTGTAAATTTTGCAAATTTGCCTAAAAATCTACTTTGTTGATTTAATTTTTACGAATTTATACTGTCTGCCATCTTGTGCCCTAATAAGTTGATTTTCACAAATCTTCAAAAAATCACAAAATCTACAAAATTTGCAGCCATTAAAAATTTTGTGCTAGTGAGCCGATTTGACAAAACCAAGTTATCTGTGGGGAATTATTAATTAGAGATAAGGCTTCCCAAAGTTGTGACAGTGGTACCTTATCAAAACCGAGATATTATTGAAAATGTAGTGTATGAAGAATTTCCTTTTATTTGATACCAATCCTTAGCTTCCTTAGCTTCCCATGTAACATTATGTACAAGTACATTATCTTGGTACAAAAGTATAACTGTATAGGTAAATCATAAACTTTGATGAACTGTAAGTATTGCTAATTCATTCAGTCTTACTGTGTCACAACTCACAAGGCTTTCATAATTCATAAAAATTCCTAAAAATTGTCATTATACTTGTAGTATGAATAGTGAGATTAAATTTTTCTGGAGCAATGTAATGTAATGAAAGTTGTATGATAATATTCATTATTGAAATTTGTGTGGGTGAGTTTAGGAATTTGGCTTGTTATGAATCAACAATGAATTTCATTATGCAACAGATATTCTATAAAAGCTGCCACTTTGTGCTATATTTTTACACAGTCTTACCCTTTGGACCGTTGCTAATAATTTGGTGGTGCTGCTTCCTATGAAGATGTTCTCCGTTTTTCTCCTTTGCTGTTTTCTTTTCGTTGCTTCAAGTGATGGTGCTGTAACTGAAAAAAAAAGAGATGTAGCTGCTGTTACTGACTGGCTGCACAAAATCAGCAAGAGGCATAGCTCTCAACTGGAAGTACGTCAAGACACCACTGCTTGTGCAAACCAGCTTCAAAGCAACCTTCCCTCCTTCTGCAACTTCACAGAACTTTCAGGTGGTCTCTCAGATCTTCCTACTTCATCCTTCACTGATGCTCAGCTCACTACTCTCAACAATGCTTACTCTCGATTGTGTGTCTCAGCTTGCATTGATCCAATTGACACCTACTACAATTGTATAGTGACGAATGATGATACCTTAAGGGATTATCTCGTTACCTTGATTCGTCAAGGTGTCTGTGGACAGGAGAGTGGAGACTATTGTGAGGTGAGGTACTTAAGGGAATATCGAGGAGATTACTCAAGTATACAACGTCTGGTAGATACCTGTACATTTACCTCTGGTGGAATATCCTGCAGTTCTGCTTCCTCCACTTGTCTTTCTTATGTTAATATATTCAATGATAGGATGGGTTGCTGTACTGAGCCATATCTTGGATCTGGTGTCAACTCATGCAGTGGTGCTAGTGTGGAGGATGCTTGTACTGGAGTATCCAGTGCTACTGGACTAGTAGCTCCTGTCTTTGTGATGATACTCAGTTTGGTTGGAGTTTTGGTCCTCTGATTTTTTTTGCCACTTGTGTGAACATTTATTATTTAACTAGATTTTTGAACATTATAACTTTAGTCTTATAGTTAGTTTTATGTAGCATAGATATAGGCTGTTCAATTTTTTTGAAAAAGAAATCAGTTTAAATTGTTGAATAATAGGGGATTTTTGACTTTTGGGTGAACTTTATATTCATCATAAATGAATGGATAAAACCATAAGTATAAAGTATAACTATAGATCATTAGATATGTTACAACACACTGCAGGAGGGTGGGAACAGTGCTACAGAGCAACAGTGATTCATTGCAACATTACACCAATGGTGGTGTAACAATGTGCCAATGCTACAGGCATAGGCAACAAGCACCTGTGCACTATTGCAATAGTTCAACAACACTGCACTAATGTTGGCTGTATGTGTCTTGTAGTTTAATCCAACACTTGTAATGTTGCAATTTTATTATTGTGCGATTAGCATACCTAAATATCTACACATTATGATGGTCAGGGACCAATGGGACAGGCATAAACATGTAACTACAAGTAGTAGTGTAGTAGATATGATGATATCAATTACAGTTCACATAAATAATACAGTGCATACACCAAGAACAGGGCAAATCTCACTTATTAAAAAAGTAGACCTCTGACACTTAATTAAGGCTGGTTTACAATATGACGTTAGGCCAACGTACAGTCAATTTTTAATCAAAAGTGTGGGCAATTTGACCTTTTGACGCATGCTTTCTGCTAGAATAGAACCAGATTCTATTCCAGCATCTACATAACATTAGGACTTGCGTAATATTGCAAGCCAGCCTTAACATGTATGTGTACATGTGTAATGCATGTATTAAGTAGAACTTTATGTTTAGAACAATGCATTGCTTGTGACCATTCTTAGAATACACACATAATACTTTAGATTGTGGGGTTTCCTACAGGATTTTGGCATAGTCTTCATGCAGCTTGTTGTCAGTCAAGCTGCTTAAAAATTGAGCCAATGCCCACAGGGTTGATAAAAATTATAAAGAGAAATATTATATGTTTTCTGATACATATACATGTCCTATGCTAAGTATCAACTTTAAGCTGATTCCAATCAAATTTGGATTTTTTATGAATTTTCAAAGTTGCTCGAAATGCCATGTACTATATTGTATAGTTTAGCTCACTTAGCATGCTTTGTGCATAGATAATAGAGACTACGTATACGGGATAGGAAACGGGATCACGTGATCCATTACATTGTGTATAATCGGACCGTACAGTCCTTGTCCGCCGCCATGTTGGCCTACAATCAGTCAGTTTTTGTCTATTCTACAAAATCTGAGGGATTATAGGGACATTTTTACGTTGCATCATGTGGTAAGTATTGTATTTCATCACTTGCTGTTGTAAAATAAGCTTTCTATTGCGTTGACTATACAATAGCTTCGCTATAAACAAAAATTTCTACTCATTTTTGCCTTGTCTCCCTCTGTAGGACCCAAGTTCATTTGACTTACTTCAAAATTGACACTGTTACAACCTAAATGGTTCTGGCCGTTGCTTAAGCTATGTAATCAGATCCATACAAGCTTTATTCTCCTCCTTTTGAGACAAAATCACTCGCAACCTCATACATTTTTGTCTCCCTCTCCTGCTTCAAAGAAGGGCTTGTTTGAAATAAAGATTTTACTTTTGTTTAAAGATAATATTGATTTATTGCTTCAATGATAGCTGTTGCTATTATTTGCTTCTATTTTTTAATTATGGCTATTTTTGTTTCTAATTGTGCAGCACTTTACAGTATCAACCATGTTAAATTTTTAATAACTATTTATAACTATTACAATAATAAGACGCGGAGTGTTTCCCTGTTTCCTATCCCGTATACGTAGTCTCTATTATCTATGCTTTGTGGGAAACCCTGGTCAATGTAACCTTGGATTGAAATGGATTTATGCTTTTGCTGAATAATTATTTTCAACTACATGTACATATGGTTTATGACTAATCAATTCATACATGCATTAGCTATTAGTTTTAATACCTTAGATTTTAACTGTCTGTTTCATTTATTTTGTAGCTATTTCAATTATTTTGATAAATCATGGAAAGTATCCTTTTTTGGCTACCATTGGTAAGACCTATTAAAGCATGCATGTACAGGTACATACCATATAAAAAGGTATATTCTCCAGCAAAAATATTTCACAAAAATCAACGTTCAATTTATTTGCAAAAATATTTCATGTTTTTTTACTGACTATAAAAAACAAGTTTCATAGTTAAGAATTTTGAAAGTATTTTAAAATTGTGAAATTAGCAAAATTGAAACCCCAGAAAGTCTACTTCATATGCATGTGGTATAATTGTTTTTTGTATTTGTGTTTTCATTCTCATTGTATATCTTATTTAAAATTTAAAGTTAAATCTATTATTTTTTAAATTTAGGCTTCTTTTAGTGAACAAAGCTAAGACTCATTCAGAATTTTATTGATTTGGCAGCTAATGAGAGAAGCTGATATCTTATATTGATAATTTAAGCTCAGTAAGCAATTATGATTGATGGTTATCATTTCTAAGTGCATTGTGTTTAACTATTGTATGTGTATCAAATACGATTCATAAATTACAATTTTTTGTCAACTCTGATTGTATTGTCTGATTTATTTTAAACTATAACTGCCATATTGAGAGTACATCTATACCATTAGCTAATCATGTGTATCCAGCACTAAAAGAAAATATTATATTTGTAGTTATATCTGTCAAAGTTGCCTTCACAGTAATACAGTCAGTCAGCACTGCCTCTATGCTCCACCTCTGTTAACTATGCCTCAATTATGCTATGTTGTTTTTTAAATTTATTGTTTTATGATTTAGAAAAGATTTCATTAATTTTAGTTTATGCTTAGCTTTGGGGAACAACAATAATGCTCTTTTAACTTGATACATAGATCTACATGCATGTATGGTTATTATTTATATGCTTACAAAAATGTTAACAATGAGAAATTTTATTTTTCTGATACATATACATGTTCTTATGCTATGTATCAACTTTGAGTTGATTCCAATCAAATTTAGATTTTTATGAATTTAAAGAGTTACTCAAAAATTGGGCCAATGACCAAAGGCTATTATAGCCTGGCCAGATTTTGGCAAAATGGCCATGTTTAGATTCTATTTGATCCTTTGGTTTATAGTATCTGTTGCCATTCTT